AAGAGCATTGAATTTGGCTATTCCGGCAGAATCCAATCTCGCAAAAGTATTCACCTGATCTTGCACACAGTATGCATCGTGATCTGTGAAACAACCATGTCAGCATAACGCTCCTCCCCACTTCCTCCATCTGGTGGGCCCTCCTCTTCGCTATGTTACCTTTCATCTCGAGAATCCCCTACTCCCAAGAGCGGTTAGGAAGTTGAGAGCAGGGCACAGACATTCGCATGCGCGATTTTGGTCAGGGCCATGGTACGACCCCCCTTTTTGGGGTTCGGTTACGACCCGCCCCCTTTTTAGTGTTGACGTCACATAATTCCCTGAAATTAGATATAAACAATTAGATATAAAAAATAGATATAAACAGTCCTACCTAAATTGACTTGATTTACTTATGTACAAGCGTTTGTGATCAAAAACACGATGAGTAGCATACACACAGCATAAATGCGAGTTAAATGAGACTATGATTAAAACCAAAAAACAAAAAACGGTATAACAGAAAAAGAAAACAAAAAAAGAAATACGCCTAAAATGCATTAACCCCGAGATGTGGAGTACGGTAGCAGAGATGCGTACGTAATTGCAGCCGTGACTGGAGCAAACGGCTATTAGCCATGGAGCGAGAATTTTCAGCAAAGTAGGGTGTCTTTGAAGGACCATAACTTCCTCAAAAGCGGACCTGTGGGGAAGAGGAGAGCCGTATTGGTAAATTAGAAGGCATTTGTCTTTCTGAAAGTACTAACAATGTTTATTGAGGTCGGCGAAATCACAGAGAAAGTGCCATAGGGATTCGTTGGGGAGTGAAGGGTTGAAGTTCAAGTTGAACAGGTTTGAATCAATATATTTTTTTGTAACTCAACATTTCACAAATCTGAGAACGGATCCGAGCTTCTCAAGATTTTCTCTTTCTAAAAACCTATTGAACTGTTCCTGAAGCTCTCGGGATTCATGAGATCTCGCGATGGGGATTTCTTAGGGAGCACTCCCAGCCGCGCGAAAAACCCGTTTCCTGTGCACCGTTTCAAGTGAGCGTGTTCGAATAGCCAGGAACGCATGTAGAACGTATCCTGTGGTGGAGCAGGAGCAGGATATGGTTCGTTTAGCGCCGATCACGCTGACTTTGTATGCGCCGCGCACTGAGGTCCGCGCAGAAGTGATGGGGGATGGTGCAACTTGTGCATAATGTGTGTCCACGCGCGCAAATGTGTCTGTAGGATTCAGGGAGGTCCATGGCGAACCTGTGCACTTGTCTACAGTGTTTTCCCTTGCGGATGATGTAGCGTGTCCGTGTCGACGCCGCCAGATCTGTGCTCCGATAGTTGCTGATTCCGATAAAGGAGACCAAGTGCTGGAAAACGTCTGGTACGAACGATATGGTAGTCCTGTCGTTTGTCAGAAAAAAAACAGGTTGGCTCAGCGCCAAGCGTGATCGCGGACACGCCCCATCATCCGCAGCAAACCAGAGTATGAGTTGTAGTGTTTAATCACTTACGAGATGTTGTCGACTTATTAATAATTCCAATTATTAGATCGGCCCCCCTCCCCCCCCCCCCCCCCTTCCCCCCCCCTCCCGATTAGTTTGATGGATGAAAGTTTTGTACTCATTTTTTACATATCCGAGTTCTCTACGAAGCAAGTTCCGCTACACAGGATTCAGCACACTGACACCTTTGCGCTGCTCAACGCGGTAAGGCATGGCGGCTACCTCGCACCTTATTTCGTCCGCCAGCGCGCCCTCCGCTTCTAACCTGGCAGGATCAGGACGCGCCGAATCGAGCAAACGCACACTCCCGTGCATGGCGCGATTCCCTCAACAATGCTGATTTTGAAAAGGTTGGCGTTTGCCCCTGAG